GATATCTATCTGTCACAGATAAGTAGAAGTGCTCTTGATATTGTACAGAATAATTTAATGCAAAAGGTACAGAAGAAAGGGGTATGCAGTAACGTAGTTGGTTGAGGCACTATACTACAAGCCGGAAGGTCGCGGGTTCGAGTCCCGATGAAGTGGATTTTTTTCAATTGACATAATCCTTCCAGCCGCAATATGGCCCTGAGGTCGACTCAGCCTCTAACAGAAATAAGTACCAGGAATCTTCCTGGAGGTAAAGGGTGCCGGGCGCGTATGGCTAACAACCTCACCGCCATCTGTGAGCCGATATCGGGCTGACACATTGAAATTCGTCACGATCGCTTCCTCTTCAGCGGTTGCAAGTCCATCGAAGTCGACCATTGTACAATTTGAATGTTAAATAACTGTTGCACCTGCCAAAGCCTCATTAAATCTCATCCTTCCCCGTAAGGTAACATTAGCATATTACTTTGCCTACAGTGACAGTCGAAACAATTTCAGTTGCTGTACATTTAATAAAAATGTTGTAATATCTGTATTTATATATACTCGTACTGGCTTTTCGTGTGAAATGGTATTTAACATCATTCGGTATTCATTCGTTTGATAGCTACGCCTATGTATATTTGAATTTCTCCAAGGCAACTGAATACAATGAAATATTCTCAGACTTGGCCGCCTCTGTGGTCTAGTGGTCAGAGTTCATGGCTACATATACAGAGGTCCCGGGTTCGATTCCCTGCGCTACCAGATTTTCCGAGAAGTAGTGGGTCTGGAACGGGGTCTACTCAGCCTCGTGAGGATAATTGAGGAGCTATTTCGAGCAAATAGCGGCTCCGGTCTATAAAACCGTGTTTAACGACCGTGGGGATCCGTTCCGCTGACCACGCGACACCCTCTATCCGCAAAAGTTGGCAGTAACTTCGCCGACAAGCAACGGTCGCTCGGTCGGTATAGTTCCCTTGCGGATTAAGACCATGGAGTATTCTCAGATGTTCAGAGGCGTGAATTTTTTTTCTTCCTAACAATGCAACTAGTCCGAGACTAACGAGCATTTCTATTCTCACTTAAACTACTACTAGTAGAACTAAACTTTGAGACCTCGCCCACCGGTGTGTCCCAGCATCTGGTGTCTTGAGCACGTTGTCGCACCCGCATTACTCACTATTTACACTAACGCGCACTTGCACTACACTAGTTTAAACGGCTTGAGTCTCTTGAGCTTTATGACTGTCCTCTTGTCAAGAAGCTGTACCACTTCCACGTTGCTGTGGTGGTGAAGCCGATCTTCGTGCTGTATCGCTTCCACGTTGCTGTGGTGGTGAAGCAAATCTTCATGCTTCTCAGCTATCCTTTAATTTCGGCAGTGACCATCCTAATGCCAAGATCCCCTGAGATATCACTATTACGGGCGCACCAAGGGGCATTTAATATTCCCCTCTGTACTTTGTTCTGAGATTTCTGTATCCTTTGGATATTAATCTTACTCAAACGAACTCCAAAGCTGTATTCCATAAGTCCAGACCGGTTTTATTATCTGGTTGTGTACTAGTATTTTGTTTTGTGTTGATAGCTGGGACGTCCTACCCAACAACCACTTCACTTTCCTAATGAAGTTAATATTCGACGTTTCGGAGAGTATTTCTCTCTCCAGCAGTCACTGATGGCGAAGAAAGAGTATCTGAAATGCTGGATATTAACTTCACTTTCACACGGTTGAACGCCAGAAGCTTCGCTGTTCGACAGCTTCTGGCAAAAGTTTTGAATATTAACTTCATAAAAATGTTGTCAGTTAATCGATTTTTTTTTTCGCGCGTACATTTGCACGGACAGTTAACTAGTGATGTTGAAGGCAATATGTTTGCCACACTATGAACACGCTTTCAACCATTTATGAGCATGAATTCGTGGACTGTGTATGTTTGTTTGTACTGTATATTATGTACAAGCAAGAATCAATAGTCAACACAGAGAGATCTGCTTGAGGCTGTAACTACATCAGTTTCTGGTTCTGGTGTGTTCTTGTTAAGTTTATTTGGTCTTGACAGGAGCCAGATTTATTGACATCTTGGCTGTCTGTAGCCGAGGAACGTTTTGACACGTGATAGGAATACGTGCCGGACGTCAAGACTGGAATTGTCTGAGAACAAACAACGTGACTAGTGCTGCTACATATTTATACAGTTGATGTGGAGTAGGGAGAAGCAGAGGTTTCCCTTTTCACTTCATGACGCAGTTGAATATTTCTACAAGAGAAATGTTATTACCAGGGCCCGGATTTTGATGACCTGAAAATATTAAAAAAATGGCCGAAAATATCCAGAAAACTGACCTAAAATGTGATCCAAAAATGTAATATGCAGGGCCCGGATTTTGATGACCTGAAAATATTAAAAAAATGACCGAAAAATTCCAGAAAAATGACCTAAAGGAGAAAAAAAAGAACACTTCGCTTCCATTTTATTTACATTTCAGAAAACATATGAAGAAAAATTCCCTAAAATGGCCCAAAATGACAAGAAATACTATTAAAAGTCCAAAAATTTACCAAAAAACTGCCCCCAAAATGAAAAAAATGACCTTAAACCTAAAAATGTCAAAATATGACAAAAAATTACCATAAAATTTACATTTCTGTAACCAGCAGCTCATATCCGAGATTCATATATTTAAGAGCATCGCATAGGATACAAGGGGGAAAAAAAAAGATGACATGTCATCAGAATCCGGGACCTGGTTATTACGTTCATGTATTATAGATTATTTAATGAAAAATTATATAATTTCCTACCGAATTTTAAGAAAATTAATTTAACTGTGATATTTAAAATGTAGCTTACTTAATTTCCCTTGGAATGCGGGAAGACATTATATAATTTTTCATTAAATAATCTATATAGTACATAACGGTAATAATATTTTCTTACAGAAACATTCAGGTCAAGATTTTTCTCTTCATCACAGCGTCCAGACCGGCTCTGGGGCCTACCGAGCCTCCTATCGAATGGGTACCGGTGGGCTTCTTCCCCAGGAGTAAAGTTGACCACTCACCTTCATCTAGTACCGAGGTCATTAATGGTGGAGCTTTATCTCCCCTCCCCCCCCCCATATATCTTCATGATATAGTGCTTAGCTAATTAAGCACAGGAACAACTTTGCCTTTAAAGAATGCCGTCTTCTGTGATGTGGCGCCGTGTGCATCCTGTGTGACCCGATGTTCCGGATGAACATATAGCCTCTACATCTCAGAAAACGGCATTCTTCATAGTGACCGTCGGGATAAACCTGAAATCTTATAACTTTACCTTTATTTTACGAGATCTAAAACGGCTTCGAATTCATTGGTGCGATATTATACAATGTTATCCGAGAATCTTCTGAACTGACTCAACATACTTAGAATTACTGGGCGAGCGACGGTTACCAATAATACAGTTACTCGTATAAGTAACGGTATAGTACAGTGGCATTTGATTATTTTTTCGTATTACCTGAATGTTATTTTCTCACACATTAATTAACTTTATGAAGGTGAACCCTTCTTGAGAAGCCGCCAATTTTTCAGCTACTCAAGAAATTCACAGCATTTTATGGAACCCGAAGGTTCATTACCGTGTTCACAATAGCCCTCCACTGGTCCCTATCCTGAGCCAAATCCATCCAGTCCATACTATCAAATCCAATTTCTCTAAGATCCATTTTAATATTGTCCAGCCACCTACGTCTTGGTCTTCCTAGTAGTCTCTTTCCTTCTGGTTTTCCAACCAAAAATCTCTATACATTCCTCTTCACCGCCATTCGCATTTTTTCATACACGGCTTTAAAAAGCGTGTTAAATATTTTGCTGGATTTAAGTAGGAATCGTTACGAATGCTTTTAGAAACTCTGCAATCGATGAAAAAAATTAATGAACACGGATGTGTTATTGCAAACGGTATAAGTATCACAGAATTCAAGAATGACACTGTTTCCTCTCAGATATGGCCTCCTCCAGTGAGAAATCGCCTTACGTGTGAGGACACGACATCAAACGCAGACGTTGCATGATTCGTTTACTTGAGAGCATTCAGAAGCAATAAGACTATTCTTTCATTCGACAGCTGATAGATGGCACCACTGAACACCCTAAGTACCATACAGTGCCTGCCAAAACGATATGTAAAGAAACGGCTGAACATGGATGAATGTCTAGCCCCTGCAAAGAAAGCAGCAGGAATGTTTCGCACTGGTCAGTCCAACATAAGAGTATAACGGTTTCCGTGTCATACAGGTACGTACTGCTGCATGTTGATAAAGAGGAAATGACTGCAATCACAGGACTGAAGTGGCTGCCAAACGTGAACTCTTTATTGTTACGGAACAGAATATACTTCCACCTTTCCTCTTCTCCCCTTTATTGCATTTCTTTCTTCCTTCCTGCCTCCTCTATCACTCTTCTTTATACTTCCCTCTCCCATCACCTCTCTGCTTTCTTCTTCCTCCTTCCGTACCTCCGTCCATTTCTTTGTTCTGGTCCACTAATTAAGGCAGCTTTATCTAGCCAGGGAGAGGGGCGCTATGCTACAAGCAGGAAGGTCGCGGGTTCGATTCCCGTTAAGGTCATTGGAATTTTTCACTTTACATAATACTTCCAGCCGCACTATGGCCCTGGAGTCGATTCAGCCTCTAACAGAAATGCGTACCAGGAATCTTCCTGGAGGGTAAAGGGCGGCAACCTTATCATCTATGCGTTTATTGTCTAAAAATGTGGGAGCCTCGATGTCTCACAACTCTATGGGCCTCCACGGCCTCTTACAGGGATAGCTTTACTTTTTTCTAAATGACCAGAGTAGGTGGTTCCCACCATTTCACCTGAGGACAGACACATATCCAGTTTCCGAAACGTTGTGTAATTTAGAATGCCGGACAGTGGACAAAGTCGTCAGAACCCTCTGGATTTTATTTTTATAAAATATATTTTGAAGAGTGTCTAATTTTGATGTTCGTATTATTCCTTTTTCTAGAGTGAAGAAGCTTCGTGCCACAAGTTGAGAACCACTGGGTGATAAAACAAAGGTCATATGCAGTGACCATGAGGAGGGACGTACTTATCGTGTTGGCACAGAGGCAGTTACTACTCAGGTTGCTAGACAGGTATTTATCACGGCTGCATCTACATGAATTTCAAAAAGGATAATCCATCTCTGCTAGGGAGAGAATCTCTGCTCTTAACATTAACCGGTACAATCATTAATCAAAGTACGATCGTCCATCCATATTCGCGAATTCAAGTTAATAAGCTGCTTCCCAACCACAGATTAACCCTTGAAAGACTGAAATCCTTTCCAATATAATATAAAAATCCAGTTCATACCTCACAGGAAGCACATTACCTCTCCGCTATATGTACCAACTGCCTTATGCTGTTTATTGTCAGAACCATACGAAACGCAAATATGTTATGTGGGCAGAATACCGGAGTTCTTGTATGGTAAATCAGGTGGCAGGTGGTACATATCGTAAACCAATAAGCTTTAAACGGTCAAGATGAAGGTTCCTTAAAAAGTTTACCGTAGTGTGCACAGACTCTCGGCAATGAACCCATACGCACTGCGTCACGGTTTGCCTCAGTCCACTCTCGGCTCTTGTAAGATACCTTGCTTGCGATATTTAGAACTTTGTTTTGCGCACGCTTGTCTACCAGACGACCACCTCTGTGGTTCAGTGATCAGAGTTCCTGGCTATAGATCCAGAGGTCCCGGGTTCAATTCCCGGGGATACCGGATTTTCTGAGAAGTAGTGGGTCTGAAACGGGGTGCACTCAGCCTCGTGAGGATTATTGAGGAGCTATTTCAAGGAAACAGCGGCTCTGGTCTAGAAAACCGAGTATAACGGCCGTGGGGATCCGTTGGGCTGACCACACGACACCCTCTATCCGCTAAAGTCGGCACTAACTTCGCTGATAAGCGGCGATCGCTCGGTCGGTATAGTTCCCTTGCGGACTAAAGGCCAAGGAATTTCAGTTTCGTTTACTGCTCACAAGGGATACACAAAATATATACTAGAGTACAAATCAGTAATGGCTTTCGTATCATTGGACGCGGAGATTAAATCGCCAACTGAAAATGGTCCAGACTGTTTTTGGATACACGGTCAGATTTATCATTTGGTCTCAAAAGTCACATAAGAAATATATGAATTAATAAATAAAACAAGTCCATATTTAGTTAATGACCTATCAGATTATCTAGAATAGTTTATGTTACGCCGGTTACAGCTAGTAATGCACAGAAACAGAAGGAGTATTTTAAATATTTAATCTATTTGGTCAGCTGCAGAGAAAGCGTAATTTCCACCACCGATTAATGTTAAAATGTTACCAGATTACTTACATTATTATAATGTGTCGTATCTCAGTCCCCCGAAATGTATCCAATTCTGAAAAAAAATAAAAACAGACGTTCAATAAACTTGATATCTACTTAATACCATTAGGTGCTTTCTGCCTTCCTGTATTTTTAGCTTCATAGTTGACAGAGCAGTAACAAAAATTTACAAGAAGACTTCACTATGCTGATTACTTCAGCAATTAGGCCTATATGATAATTATGATTAACATCATCACTGGCTCGACAGCTCAGGGTGGCCTTGGCTTCTTTTTTAATTCGCTTAGTGGGGAGTGGAGTCCAACTGGGTCCACTCGGCACGGCGGCCACTGATTGGCCTATTGTAGCCTGCCCCGGGTGATTATGATGATGGAGAATTTGGTGGAATGAAGATTGGCAAGGGAAACCGAAGTACTAGGAGAAAACCCGCCCCAGCGCCACTTTGTGCCCAGCAAATCCCACTTGCCCAGACCCGGGATCGAATCCGGGCCGCTGCGGTGGGAAGACAGCGACTACCCGCTTGAGCTATGGCGCGGCCTGGCCTTGGCCTTGCGCAGGAGTATTTGCCATTCCCCCTCATAACCATATCCCTCATATTCCTGATGTCCAGAACCTTGATATCGTGGAGAACTCCCTCTTCCCATCTTAATTTAGGTCTTCAAGTTTTCCTTATTATGGTTTGGAGTTAAAAGTTTTCTGACGGTCTATGCACACAGCATGTCCACACCAGCGTTGCCTGTTTATTTTCATACATTTAACTATATCTGGTGCTTCGTGTTAAAGAGTTATATTATGATTAGCAAAATATTTTTATTGTGAATTCTTCAGCCTGACGTCTCTTCACTGCACGAGACTGAATGAGGCGTACTGAGCCAACTATTTCTAGTCAGAATCAATTCGTAGAGTGAACGATTTCATTTTGTTCTGAGAATGTGCCATTTCGTGTTTGTGAGCAGGTTGCTGTTGTACGAGGTAGTCTACATGAAATATTTTTTTTATTATTGTTATTTATCATTTATTAGCAATCTGAATTTACATTCTATGAGCTAATTTGCTGTCATGTACAATAATTATTCTATTGTACTAAGTTGGCTTGAAGAGCTGTAATCCATCGATTACACCTCAGTTTTCCTGGAGATCGTTTGCCCAAGTTCGTCTTAGTCTTCTGTATTGTGTAGGTTGAAGGAGAGCTTCTATTGCGTTGTTGGGGTGAGATTCCAGTTTCTGATAATGTTTTTGGATTCTGTCTGTGATTACGGTTCTTACATATGGGATCTTGAGGTCGGTGTGAAGAGTTTGGTTTGACACGTACCAAGGTGCGTCAACTATGGCTCTAAGTATTTTGGATTGACTTCGCTGGATGATTTCTGTGTTGGACCTGCTGGCGCATCCCCAGAGCTCAATGCCGTATGTCCATATGGGTTTAATTATTGTTTTGTAGATCAGCAGTTTATTATCTATTGTTAGGTGAGATTTCCGACCTATTAGCCAATTTATTTCCTTGAACTTAATTTCGATTTGTTTTCTCTTCTTCGCTATATGGTGTTTCCAGTTTAATGTTGAGTCCAGGTGTAGTCCTAAGTATTTTACTACATCCTGCTGTTGAATGTTAACATGATTTAGGTGTACTGAGGGGCAGTTACCTTTCCTGAGAGTAAAAGTCACATGCGCCGATTTGCTTTCATTCACTTTGATTTTCCATCGGTGTAGCCATTTCTCCATTAGATTCAGATGTTCTTGTAAATTAGATGAAGCAATTACCGGGTCTTCTGACGTAGCGAAAATTGCTGTGTCGTCTGCGAACGTACCTATTTTTGTTAATTCGGTGGTCGGTATATCTGAGGTGTATAGCACGTAGAGGAGTGGACCCAAGATACTGCCCTGAGGAACTCCTGATTGTATGTTTCTTCGGTTGGATACTTCAGCATTGATTTTTATTTCGAATTCTCTGTCTGTTAGGTACGACTGCAGTATTGCGAAATATTTGGCCGGTAGAATTCTTCTGATTTTATAAAGCAGGCCTGGATGCCAAACTTTGTCAAATGCCTGGCTTACGTCGAGGAAGGCAGCAGTGCAGTATTGTTTGTTTTCCATAGCTTGGTTGATTATATTAGCTATTCGGTGGCATTGTTGTACTGTGGAGTGTGCCTGTCGAAAGCCAAATTGGTGGTTAGGGATCCAGTCATTTGGGTTGGCGTCGTGATTAATTCTATTGAGGATAAGCTTTTCAAGAAGTTTCGATATTATGGGTAACAAGCTAATTGCATGAAATAGAGTGCACAATTTGCAGCAACATAATTGTGCGTGATGCTAATGGGAAACTATATAGGACGTTCATCAAGCCAATGTCTTCTTTACTCAGAGTTGCAAATTTACAAATAGTTGCGTATTTTGACTGTACATGATCATAATCTATAAGAATCAAACATAAACAATTGCTAAGCTTTATGCAGTGGTTGGAGATCATATTTCCTAATGAGAGCATTTCAGTCACGTGATATTACATGTCAATTTCTTCTCGACTTATTTAATGACGCTGTGTCAAATATATAGTTTATACAGAGTCTGACGAAATGAGAACGTGATCACGAATAGCGACTAGTAATTTTGTATTGTATGTTAATCATATTATTTCGCTAATTTTCATATTTTACTTACTTAATTCTTGGCCGCGCCATAGCTCAATCGGTTAGTCGCTGGCTTCCCACCGCGGCGACCCGGGTTTGATCCAGGGTCTCATCAAGTGGGATTTGTGGTGGACAAAGTGGCGCTGGGGCAAGTTTTCTCCGAGTAGTGCGGTTTCCCCTGCCAATCGTCATTCCACACCAATTGCTCCACAATCACCCTCACCTATCATCTGGGGCTGGTAAAATAGGCCAGAAGTGGCCGCAGTACAAGGGACTTAGTTCCACCCCACTGGCAATAAAAATTACTTAATCCTTGGGTTAACGGTCCTATAAGAACCTTGTCCTCATTTACGACAGATGCCTATTCTTCAATATTATTTCCATCCACCACTTCACATTCGTCTCTCGTAAATCAATCTCTATATCTTCCGGCCATCTCATATTTGGCCTACCTACTTTTCTTCTCACTCTTGGTTTACACTTAAAAACATTCTTAGCTACTCTTATTTGATCCATTCTAATCACGTGACCCAATCACTCCACTCTCCTAGAGCTTTTGTACCCTCAGTTCTCAGTTAATTTCCCAAACCCTTGTCAATTACTTGTCCATATGCCTTCCTCAAAATTTCCGTTTTCCGCGTCTTCAGCATAACTTTATTGTTTTCAATGATAGACCATGTTTCACACCCATACTTCACGAGTGATAATTTTTATGCGTAAACCTTACAAAATTAAGTACGTTATTTCCGTAAATTAATTAATTAATTTCAATGGCTTGATCGGAGTGTAAAGCACATGTTATAACGAGCGCGTGCAGTGCTCCTGTCTGTGATACTGTTCACGCTCAAAATACACTAATTTTGTAAGATTTGAGGCTTTCGCGGCGGTAACTATGAAGAAAGCAGTGTTCTGGGATTCGGCACCGTGTATATGTGGTGTTAACCGACGTTTCGGAGGACGGTCTCTTCGCTTGCAGATTTCTTATATTTTTCTTCTACCCTGAAGATGGAGGCGATACGTTCCTCCGAAACGTCGGTTAACACCACATATACACGATGCAAAATCCCAGAAGACTGCTTCCTACACTAATTTTGTTGTGAATACGCGCACAGTAGCAAAAATCTTCCAGAATTTGTTTCTTTCGTGGCGCTTCCTGTTCTCATCTGTAGAAATACGTCATTTATTCATCATTGGCTCCACAACTCTTTGTTGGGCCTTGGCCACTTTTTCAGTTTCTTAATCCTATACA